TCGATTAATTGGGAATTGTCCAGTGGTGGAAATAGAAATGGGGGTGTTATAGTTCCCTGTCTTTTGGATACTGGGTCCATGGTCACCACTATTCGAGAGAGTTTCTTTGAGAAGCACTTCAGGTCGCAGGGGGTGGAGCATTTAAAGAAATGCCAATGGTTACGCCTCAGGGCAGCTAATGGGTTGAAAATCCCCTATATAGGCTACATGGAGCTTGATGTGACTGTTTTTGGTGGCACCCTGACAAAAATGGGCGTGTTAGTGGTGAAGGACCCTCCAGATGGGAGCGTTCAGCAGCCACAGAGTGTGCCTGGCCTCTTGGGGATGAACATCATAAGCCGTTGTTACCACCTACTCTTTGAGCAGTTTGGCCCTCGTCTGTTTGAATCTCCTGCCCTTGAAAATGCCAGTAAGACGTGGAAAAAGACACTTCACAAGTGTCAGCGCATTGAGGCTTTGAATACATCCGGGTATTTAGGTAAAGCAAAAGTCCACGGTCGAGCTGTTTGTGTCCCTGCTGGTTCGCTGAAATGGATACGTACTAGCAGCCCCTCTGCTGCTAACATTAACCTTCCATCAGTGCTCCTGGAGCCCATAGCGACAGGTAATCCCCTTCCAGGGGTCATCTTGGTTTCCCCGGCCCTCCTTTCTGTTGAACAGGGTGTTGTTGGCATTCCTGTGGTTAATGTGGGAATTGAGGATGTTTGGTTACCACCCTGTACACAACTAGGTGAATTGCATGTGGTTGACCCTCCATCATCTGGGGACTCTGTTATTACTGAAGAGTCTGATGATCCCACGATGCAGTTAATGATGCACGAAGTGACTGTACAGGCGCATCCGCCCCTTGATTTTTCCGAGCTCTCATGGCCTAACTTGTCCAATGAACAGTCACAACAGGGAGTGCCACTTTTGCGGAAGCATTGCTCAGTTTTCAGCCATGGGGAGGGAGATTTAGGATGTACCACATTGGTGGAACATGAGATCCCTTTAATGGATGATGCCCCAGTGCCACAGCAGTATCGCCAACTCCCACCCTCTCAGTATGAACAAGTGAAAGCCCATATTAAAGATTTGTTAGATTGGAGGGTAGTGCGTCCAAGCAGTAGCCCTTATTCTTCTCCAATTGTGGTGGTTTTCAAGAAGAATTGAGAGATTAGGCTGTGTGTTGATTACCGTTTGCTTAATGGAAAGATGCTTATCCATTACCCCGTATTGAGGAGTCATTACATGCCCTGACAGGAGCACAGTGGTTCTCTACATTGGACCTTGCAAGTGGGTATAATCAAGTACCAGTGGCCGAGAAGGACAAAGCAAAGACTGCTTTCTGTACCCCTTTTGGTCTTTTTGAATTCAATCGAATGCCATTTGGACTCTGTAATGCCCCTAGCACCTTTCAGAGGCTAATGGAGCGGATTTTTGGGGATCAAAGTTTCCAGCCCCCTTTATTGTACCTGGATGATATTGTTGTGTTTTCATCCTCTTTGAGCAGCATCTGGAGCGTCTTGACTTGGTCTTAACGCGGCTCAAAGAGCACAATCTAAAGTTGAAGCTGGAAAAGTGTCACTTTTACCAGCCGGAGGTTCAATACCTCGGGCATGTGATATCTGCTTCTGGGGTGGCGACTGAACCTTCTAAGATTAGTGCAGTGGCTGAGTGGGCACGACCGACTACTTGTACAGAGCTACAGTCATTTTTGGGATTTGCCTCATACTATCGGCGTTTCGTTGAAGGTTTTGCCAAGTATGCTGCCCCGCTCCACCAGCTGGTGGGCGAGCTTGGAGGTACCAAGAAGAAACGTAGAAGTGGTGCCAGTGGGGCAATGTGTCACCTTTGGAGTGAGGAATGTGAGAATGCATTCCAAACACTAAAAAGGCTGCTGGTAAGTGCCCCAGTATTGGCATATGCAGACTTTGCTAAACATTTTGTCCTTGAGATAGATGCTAGCTAGGCAGGTTTAGGGGCAGTTTTATCTCAGGAGCAAGAAGAAAAGAGACGGCCAGTTGCTTTTGCTAGTCGGGGCCTGCGACCTAGTGAAAGGAATATGTCCAATTATAGCTCTAGAAAGTTGGAATTCTTGGCACTAAAATGGGCTGTCACTCAAAAATTCCATGAATATTTGTTGGGAAATAAGTTTGTTGTGTTCACGGATAACAATCCCCTTAGCTATTCGCAGACTTCTAAATTGGGAGCCGTAGAGCAGCGATGGGCC